GGGGGGGGGGGGGAGAGAAAGACTCTCCGGCGTGGAGGGGCAAGGAGAGAAACCGGCGTCCGCGCGACGAGACGGGATCCGGACGTGTAAACTCGACGGAGAGGGCGAGAGAGGTCGTACGTATGGCGCGCTTCTTCGACGACCGGAGCGATGTCACCCGACAGTTCTTCTGCTCCTCGTAGAAGGGAGTTTTGCTGTTTTTTTTTTCTTCCTCCGCTCTCCTCTCGCTCGCACTTTTTCTAAACACGGGTCTGTCGCTCGCGCGACGAATACCAACGTCGGCGAACGGAACGAACTGTTGCGCACACGACCGACCGCGGCGCGGCTCACGACTGTCGTCCCGACTCGGCTAAGCTCGGCAACGCGACTGGCGACGCACGAGGTTTTCCGTCACGAGCGCGCGCACCGATCTCCACCGGCCGTCGTCGGCTCCTTCCACACCACGTCTCGCCCCGCTCCGCGGCCGAGGCTTCCCCCTCTCTCACCGCTTCGACGGGCTCTGTCGGTCTAAACACACAAGAGCGAAAGAGAGAGCATGAAACATGGCGTCCTGCGGTAGCGCTGCCAGCGCTACGGTCACCCGAATAAGCGGCGTCTCGCTCGCTTCGGCCGGCTTCGGCGCGACCGGCGCCTCGTGGGAATACGAGGCACGTAGGTCGCGCGTATCTCGACGAAGCCGCCGCGCGCGCGTCGCCAAGCTTCTTTCCCCTCACAAATTCGAATTGGAACTTTTACGGCGTTATGCAAATACATGAATCACCGCGCACGAACCACGTCTGGATTTGAAATTACCTTCAAATATGCTAAATAATTTTATGCCTCTATTTATTTACATAGTTTGGCGTAAACGAAATGTAGCTGTCTTAAGAATTACGTCGCGATTTGTTTACGTATTTATACGTTTCAACGAAAACAGCCGAAGCTTTTCTCCACGTAAGAGAGCGATTTAGATTATCGTGGATAAACGAGAAATGAGAAACATGGAGGAACAGTGTTTTGCTGAAGTTCTAAAAATTTAGATAGATACAGATTCGAAAATAATTTTACTGGACTATCCAAATAAATATGTAGAGAAATCTTAAGGAAATTCTAAAGTATGTTTTACCGATGGAATGCGATTGTTTTTCTTACAGATATTTCTTTAATTGCTTTTATGCAAGATTTAAAAATTCTTTTCCATGATTAAAATATAAATGATAATGTAGTCCAAACCGGTCGACTTTACGCTAAAAACGAAAAAGAGGTAGAAAAATTACAGTTTTGTTGTCGGCCTGTGGCGTCGACTCGTAATATTTGCTTCATGTACAAGTTTTATATTTTGTACGTATAAAACAATTTTGATTTGCAATATTTGCACTAGAGATGATTATAAACAAATATTGAGTTCTTAGAATTAGGCTCAGATACTCAATATAAAAAATTATTTATTTAATAAACACGTATTTAGAAAATTTGTGCGTGCAACAGTGATGTTGTCACTGAGGAAAAAATATCTCGATTTCAAAGAAATTTCATTGATCCAAAGATATAATTTTTTTTAAATACGAGCCAAGAAATGTTTCTTTCAAATTAAGATGTCTTTTCTCAATGTAGTAATGTGTCAATGACATGTAAATCGTATGTATGGAAGTCTTGTTGAGTCAATGAAACAGACGACTTTAGGATTCCATTAACGTTAAAAAATGTTGCAAAAAAATGTTGACATTCTAGCAATCAATTTGAGCGTCTTACATAATTATTTCGGTGGTCCAACAAAATTTTTAGCTATATATATATATAGTTACAGATTTTAAAATAATCTTGGACATTACAATAATTATGCAGAACTCTCAAAATACGGATAGTACTTCAGTAAAACCGTTCTTTCCGTATACGAAGCGATACGAATGGAAGGCCATCACGAGAAGGTAATCACTTGATGTAATCGTGGGACGGAGTCCCTGAAATCATTATAAAATTTATATGAAATTCCGATTTACAATCCGATAATTACATATGCAAGTACAAGAAATAATTATGTAATATATTAGATAAAATCGTTTATTTTACCAAATGATCGGATATACAGTGAGAACAATTATTTGTCATCAAATAAGTTATATAAAATTAAATGAAATTATGTAATCTGTGGGACAATATTCAGATAGTGGTTACCCCCTCGGGTCGGCAATGAGCAGACTGACGCCGGCGTCTCCGCGCAACGTCGGCGTCTTCTTGTCAGCGCCAGTCGTCGCGCTGCGCTCCACCTCCGAGGTCAACATTCCAGGACGAATTTCAGTCACGATATCGCCGGCGAAGGAGATGCCCCACTCACCGGCGAACACAAAGAAACACCGCGCTATATCGAATGACAAAAGGAAACGACTGGGAGACGCCGCGGCGCGTCGCGACGCGCCGGCTACGAATTTTTAGAGAACGCGCGTCGTTGCGCGTTGTTTTTCAGGCTGCCATGACGCAAAGCATCTCTCGCGACGTATGAGGAAAGTAATCGCGGAAACGAAATATCGCATTGGAAGTTTCCCGTCTTCCGAAGTAATAAAAATGACAGTTATACTTCTCTTTTATGTCCATTTTTACCAATGTAGATTAACTTTAAAATCGGTTTAACTCGCTTAATGTCAGTTTAACTTACTTTTTATATCTTTCCCTTACTTACTTTTTTATATCTAGTTTGAGAATAAATTAAGTCGAAAGTAACACTCGACTATACACTTGGAGAAAAGAGGAGAATTCTTTTTATGGTAAATGACAACTGTACAGGTGACAATTATGAAACAAATATTAAGGATCCTCACACGTACTTACCAAATTCCGTAGGTTGCACTGACGACCACGCTCGTTAATACAGACACCTAATCTGCAACACAAATTTATTATATATTTTGTTTTATTACTCATGTATTTGTTGTGTATCATTCATTTGCTACAACAATGACACAACTCTGGAAACAAAGAGTTTAAAAAAAAAATAAGTCCGAACGTTTTGAAACATTAAAATTTTGAAATATTAATCTCAAAGTACAGCTTTTGATATAATAATTGGTTATAGAGGAATAAACAAGTAATCAACTAAATGATATTAAATTTTTTGAGGATATCGTTGTCGTAATAAATAATTACTTTTCACTGTCAGCGAAATCTATTCAAGTAACTTAACTTTTAGAAAAGTGACGACTGTTCAAGCATGGACCTGGGAAAAATTTTGCCTGCGAAACGACAGATGGAAGGATCGCACCATTTTTTTTTATCGTTACATCGGTATACGTGTCGTTGCTTAATTGGTCGATTAATAGCGTGTATATACCTATATACAAATCTTGCAATTTACGTTACTCGAGAGAGAAATGTCGCGACGTGTTTAATTAGGATTGCCGTGTCGGCCAATACGAGAACGAGGCCGAATAGTTGCAGGTCGAAATACTAAAAAAGGATCGCGAATGGCATGCCATTCGGTTCGCGTAAAACCGAAAGGATCGTCGCTCATAAATTTTCTAATTTTAGAAACTCGTTTCGCACGATCTCGTGAACGTAATTTTGTAATAGGCCGCACAGCCTTCGCCTCTGCGACGGTTTTATAGTTACGGGAGCCTGTAATTTCGCTTTTCTAATGATCAAAACGCCCCCGTCGTAACGTAGCGTGACACGTCAGGCCCCTACTCGAAGTGTCATTATATTTCTTCCGATATTCCGATGTCCATATTTCGGAACCGCCGTCGCCCGGTAGCGACGTTTAGAGAAATGAGATTGTGTCAAACCTGTATTAAAATTGGAATTCTTGAGCGTCTGAGCGAACATGGAAGCGAACAAAAAATATATATGTATGTATGTATATACGACCGATTGAAGGTCTACAATTCACCGGAAGTCGCGATTTACATAATAAAAATAA